ATTTTTGTGGTCTTCAGTGTTTGATATAATGCTTGGGAGACATATGTTTGTTGACACAAAGCTGTGATTGATAAGTAATTTCTCAAGTTTCATAGCAAATGCGATATGGACATGTGTAAGTGTAATTACAGTTGATTTCACATGACCTTACTGCACCACGTTGCAAAGTTCGCTGGCAAATTGGATAGTACTTTGCAGAGTAGCCAATACCATGGCGAGTTAGGGAATCAAACTGCGAACTTTGAGACGTAGTTAACTTTGGTGCTACTGAACTTCATAACTTAATTTACCGAGAAAGACAGTAACAAATTTCGTCGATCAATAATTTGTACATACAGGAAGGCCCTACACAGAGTCTTGTGAACGACAAAGATCAAGTACAGTATGTATACTACAGAAATACAAAAACAGTTTGTCAAAAATTAGGTTATTGACCCACAAAGGTTCAATTAGTCGTGTATTGACACTCGATTTGGTTTACTCATACAAAAAGTTGACAATAGTTCCAAAGGAGTGCTTATAATATAATAATGCTTTACTGAGAATGCTCAAGATAAACTTGAAGAATATTTAGATGTTTGCAGTAACTGTGATCCCAGGAATAGGGACTTTTTTAACTAGAACTCAGTGATTAATGCAACTGGGAAAAGAAGTTACGCTAGACCGGGAGTAGTCAATCGATAAAACTTGGTATCGATAAAAATCGATGGTAATCAAGTGATTTTTATCGATTGATAACGGAAATCGGTTAAAATCGATAAACTAAATTGCTGTGTCAAATTGATATTATTGATATTTCATGATTTTAACAATTTATAACAGTACTTCCAACATTGTTGTTTTCTGGCATAAGTGCAGCTGAGAAAACTCATCCACGGTAACAACTGATCAACAAACATGGAAATAAGAAATGTGGAAACTATTACAGACACAAGGGTCTCTCTAAAACCGTGACCCTTTTGTACATAATAACAGGAACGGTTCGGTTTTATAATTATTACATCAAAGGGATGCCCAAAATTCAGACTAAAAGATTTCTCTGGATAGCTTTTCACCGTTTTCCGTTATCAATCGATAAAATCACTTGATCGCTAACGATTTTTATCGATTTAGTTTTTTAACTATTGGCTACTCCAGGAAGTAACTACACGCGGAACTGAGGTTATTTTGAATGGGCGGCAGATCTACATTTTGAAAAACTGGGAAAAATAAAAAACCTGGCTAATATCGGCCATCTGAAGAAGACTTTAAAGCAGGTTTTAAAGAAAAGATAAGGTTTTTTAAAACTTTTTTTAAAAGACTTGTGATAATAAATTGTTTGATCCTTCGACTCTCAATTTTTGCAACTCAATTGTCAACAAATTCACTGTTTGCGTGAAATCAGTTTTCATTTTTGGATGAGCAGAAGAACAGATGTATCTTCCGATAAAAAGCGATGGAATTGGTAAAATCTAGATAAATCGATAAACTAAATGAGTGTGTCACAGATTTCTACCAATTGAGCGATACAATCAATGTCAATCAAATCAGATTTACCAATCTTTATTGATTTATCGATTGATAAATTGATACCTATTTTTATCGATTGACTACTCCGGATGTTGAGCAAACTTGTGAAGTTCAGTCGCGCAAAAGTTGACAACTACATCTCAAAGTTTGCAATTGATTTCCTATAAACTCGCTACATAATTTGGCTACCTCATGATGTGGTACCCAATTTCCAAATGAACTTCGTAATGTGGCGTGGTAAATAGTGTGAAATCAACTGTCACAGAATGATACTAAAATTGTAGCCCCTTTAAGTCTTCATCTCGGTGGACAGCAATACCAGCAGTGAAGTTAAACTGGTAAAACTTCTTCTATTATTCTGTATTATGCTGCAGTTCTATGCAAGCATCATATTGACCAGTGGGGATGGGGTACTCCTTATAAATTATGTTCTCTCAAATGAAATCCAAACAATGTTCCCACAACTTGCAAAGCAACCAGGAGATTTGTTTACTGATCATCCCTTATATAACCAAAGATCTGTGGTTTTGAGGAAAAAAAAAACTAAAAAAGGGAAATTGAAGGTCGGACATTATTTCTCTTTATTATAGTTTGGTTACTCTCAAGTGTATTGATTTTACATGTAACTGTATATCACTTTTCAGACATTTCCTGTTAAACAGTTTCCTCTGTAGAGTTTGAAATATGCAACACATTACTAATAATAGCCACCAAAGAGTTGAGCTGGAGTAGTGTTTTGTGGCAAACATAACATTGAATTTAAGGTGGCTAAACACAGTTTTATGGGCAGTCAGCAGTAACTCGGCGTGACGGCGCATGTTTTAAATTAGACAAACCAACAAGGCAGCGAAAAAAAACAATGGTACACAGAAGATGATTTCTCAAAATCTACTCATTAAAATTCTAAGATGTTTGGCAGAATTTTTACTTTTATCGTATTTTAAGTTATTCAGATATGCAAGCTCCTATTTACATAAGCTCTGTAGAATAGACTTAGTTTGACTAAATTTGACACTTTCTCCAGTAATTTTTCAATCAGCATCGTAACTTAAGTAACGTGATATCCTCACTCATAGCTCAGTGTGCATTGTTGTCGGTTAAGATGTTATATGGTTGCAGTGACTGTCACTTGTTTTTTAGTTTCCCTCGCAGCTTCAATACCAAGGTACAAATACAAGTGAGAAAAACAAAAGGCATGATATTTTGTCAATTATTGATTTATTTCCTCTGTTGGTACGCCTCTCACTGCTAAAATATTTTAGTTTAGGAATTACATGTATATCCAGCATATCACATTGAATGTTTGGTTTTAAGTTAGATCAAACTCTTTCACATGAAAGAGTTTTATGCAGCTTAGCCATTCAACAAAACCCAACTCACCAAAAAAGTTGAGTACATACGCATAATTTTCAAGTCAATCAAACATTGAGTTATCAAACAAAGTGGAACCCACGTAAGGAAAATTCGAATGGAACAACATTGAACCTTTAAATTCCAAACTCTTGATGACATGTGTGTTAATTATTGATCCAGTGTGAAAGTAGTCAAGGTGATGAAAGGTCTTTCTCAGGTGGGGGGGAAGAGACGAGGTCTAGGACCGAGAAACGATGTTCTCACAACTTGCAAAGCGGTCACCCAGCGTGGTGGTCAATGGATAATTACGGTATTTTTCCCACAGTAAATATTTTAGAAGCAAGAATTGAAGCGAACCGGCAGAGGAAATCAGAAATGCTTAAAAAATTGAAAAAAATTATATCCTGCAACTTTGTTTTTCTTGCATACCATATTTGTCTTTCAGTACTGAAATGCGGGGGAAACTAAAATGCAACCGTGCTAGATCTTAACCAACAACAACGCGCTCGTTGGATTTATTTATAGGTTACATCATTTTTGCCGGGCAAGGATAACTTGATGCTGATAAAAATTACTGGAGCAAGTGTCAAATTCATCGGAAGCAAGTATATTCAAGAAAGCTTTATAAATATGAGCCTACTGTTCTACATATCATAACTGAATAAAAAATTAACACTTCATAACATTTCACTTTGTTTATTTCAATCAGTCAACACCTTGAATCCAAAGTTAAAATTCAAAACGATCGTAAAACAAATCACAACTACTACTGAAAGCTCTGTACCTTGAAGCGACTTTAACTTTCCTAAGATTTGCAGCAAAACACTGCTCGATAGCTCAACTCTTCGGAGGCCTTTTCTTAGCAGCTATACGAAGATAGCTATATGTTGCATATTCCAAACTCTTCAAAGGGAAATTGTTTTACAGAAAAAAGAAAACCACATAAAATCAATAAATTTGCAAATTACCAAAATATAATAGTGAGAAACAGTCCCGCCTTCGACTGCCATGCTTTTGTTTTTTTCTCAAGACTGTTGATCTATAGTTTTTGACGTAATGCGCATGATCAGTACACAAATCCGCTGGCAAGTCCCTTGCTGATCACTTTGCAAGTTGTGAGAACATTGTTTGGATTTCATTTAAGAGAATGTATGGGAAGTAGCTTTCCACCCCCCCCCCCCGGTCTTGCTTCTTTTAATATTTCAATCCATTTCAGAGTTAATTCTAAAATATATATTCTCTGCGAAAATGTCAGTACATTTGTTTCCCAAGGAAAAGGTCTTTAAATCTGCAAGTTGAAATCATCTCGATTTTACTCTTTGCTCCTCAATTGGCCTGAATAGTAAGCATTTTCCTTCTGAATCTAGCGCTTGTCAGATTTCCCTGGCTTTTTGCTTTCCCAGGGTGACTCAGTTTTTACATTTGATTTTTTTTTTTTCAATATAATTTGGTGTGTTTTGATTTTGTTCAGGCATCAAGCTCAAAAAAGCTGTGTTTGATATTGTTTGATAGCTTGTATTCAGAAACGTTTGATGGGAATTTTGTATTGTGTAATACATAGTACACCGAGGGAGGGGGTGGTTATAAAATGTACATGACTGCAATTCCCTGCTGCCCACCAGGGTGATTGCTTTACAAGTTGTGAGAACATCATTTCTTGGTTCCACACCTAGTTACTTTCCCCTGCCTCTCCTGGTATTGACCCTGTTCATGTAGATGATAATGTGCCACCTGCAAGAGGTTAAACTTTCTCTTTAGTGCCCTGGAAAAATAGGCTTTTTGTTACTGGTATCGGGAATTATGCATCAGTCAATTCCCCGGGCGTGGGGACTCTTGAGCTGTCAAATCCCGGGTGGGGACAAAAAAGAGGGCAAATGCCCACTCCGCTGTCAACACTGCAACATTTTTCATTGATCGCATGGTCGAATAATCTTGTTTTAAGCATTTTAATGTGTGATTTTTCGTTTCAATTAACGTCTTCCTTTGTAATAGCGCTAGGATTCTAATGAAGACTTCACTCCACGATGACATGCACCAGTTTAGGGTTTCAGTATTAATATAAAATTATTGACATTAAAATTAATAGAACGCTGTAACGTTATATGTTACGAATAGTAATATGAAAGGATGTTCTTGAAGTAATATCAACAGAAATTTGATTCAATAACCAAAACACATTGATTCACATCGATAGCTCCGGTTTTCTCTATGTAATTCTGGCTTGATATGCAATGAAGAAATGCATGCATAAAATCGAGAACATAACTTTACAACCCTCTTCATTTTATTCCTGGGGTGGGGCTTGGCTCAGCTGGAATTGACTGATGCATTACAGACAGCCTCTGTTTGCATTAAACCCTTGGTCCACAGTCTTATTGTGCAGGGAACATAATATCCTGACTATATTACTATGAAACGCAACTGTATACATGTACATTTGTGGTTATATATTATTCATTTACTACGTGTAGTTTTCTTACTGCAAAAAGGTTTTTCCTCCCCCTGATTGCCTGGGGAATAGCCTCTGTCAAATTTTGCTTAAAAGCACTTTGTTTTGTTTTTCATCCAACAGTCAGATCACCTTGGTATGCAATTTTGGTGCAGAAGGTTCTCTCAAAGCAAGCAAGATCATGGAACTTAATTGGCCTCACAAAACAGAGCTTGGCCAATATCCAGCCGTCGAGCACTAAGTAATGACTTGAGAATAGAAGTGACTTAAAACACCAGTATCCTCGTGACATACACAGCGTGCAAAGAAAGCAGTGTCCAATAGCCCAGGGCTAGTGGATTTTGCTATAGGGCTAGTGAATTCTGTTCTTAACTTGCCAGATGGGCAAGTGATGTTTTTGAGAAATTTGAATAACAGAAGAACTGTGAAATAAGTTCTGCTCATCAAGCAGATGGCAAGCTGTAAAAATGATTTTCTTTGTACTCTGCATACATGTAGTCCCTTAAAACAATTTGAAAAACTGTCAAGGTCTTGAAATAATAATTATTACCTTCATCAATGTTTGATAGTAAAACAGAGTTTATGTTCAAGTTTATAAGATTCATTTAAAAGTATCCGTTGATTTTGTGAGAGGTGTAAAAAGGTATACATGAAACACATAAAAATTTTAGCAGACTTGAATTTTGTAACACTGAAGCCATACTTTTTGGTTGGTGTATTTTTGCATTTGAATCTTTGCACTGGTCATAGAGAATTGTAAGTAGTTTAGAACACCATGTCAGAAGATTAAGAATATTTCCTGACACAATATAATAATTTTATTGTTATCCTGAATGGTTTAAGGCTAGGATTCATTTGAAATAAGAAAGTGGAAAATGATCAAACAGGAACTGATGATTTGACAATGACCATGAAATTGATGATCACGTTGTTGATAAAACGTCAGTCGCTGTCAACAACAGTCCTACTCAGGACATTCACCAGACAAATCATATTCCACTTTGCTGAAATATTATAGGCTGTAAAACTATCACTAGCCATAAGCTGCACTTGAATTCAAGACTACATTAGTGTCTGTTAAATTTGTTAGTATGTTGAAAAAAGGCTAGGTTTTCAATTTGTGAAGTATACAATTAATTTACCTCAAAAACAGTACTTGTATTATGTCAAAGTTTAGCCATTCATTTTTGTTGATCTAATTTGTGCATTTGAATCTTTGCACTTATTTTATACCCTCTAAGCACGCTACAACTGTGTTCACTTTGCAACTTCTGCGTATGAGATAGGACCATAAATAAGCATTGTTTGATACGAGTCTATGTGCAGGAAATGAATAAAATTTTAAATGCAACACAGATGGATTTCAGGTTTATGGTGGTATATATTTGTCTGACTTATATAATAGGTTAATTTCATGTAAGAATAAAGAAAAATTGCCATTGGAAAACCTGGTTTCGGCAAATATGAAACTTTTGGACGTATTTACGTAGTAACGGAAACAGACGGAAACACAGAAAAACAAGTCAGGTTGCCGGACCGTATCTTCACGTTTCCGCCAGTAGAACGAACGAACGAAATAACAGGTTTCCGGTACGGAATATCGCGTTTCCGCAACATAGGCACACGTTAACGATTGCGGAAATACGTGATTCCTGAAACGGAAATCTGTCGGAAACATGTAAAAAAGTGTTCCGGTTCCGTTGAAAACGCAGCGACGGAAACATGAGAAACCGTAATGTATCCGCTAACGGAAACACGCGTTTGCCGCTGTGTTTCCGCAACGGAGTCACGTGTTTCCACCATGTTTAAGTTTACGGATACTTGATTTTTCGTCCTGTGGATGTTTCACTTGAATGGTCACACAGCATGATTTCATACACAGACTTAATAGTTCGAATCTGTTTATACAGCGTCACTTGAATGGTCATATGACAGAGTTTCACCCACGTTGTCCTAATCGATTTTAAAAGGGAAATCTTTAACTAAATGTAACCTTCACGTTTTGTCGTTTTTAGAAAGCGCTTTGAGGTCAGAGGGCAAAACGCCTTTCTCCGGACTCACAACTCGCCAGGTAACGCGTATACAACAAGGATATTTAAAGTAATTTAACAAACTTAAGCAAGGGTGTCCTGTTGAGTTTAAGAGACGAGATACAGCCGGGTTTTTTTAGACTTGTTAAAACAGGCCAAACATCTTTATTTCAGCAGACTTAGTGTTTGCATGTCAAAGAAAACTCCTTTACGTGTTTGGTGCACTACGTGAAATTATTTGTCGAAAGTTACGGCATTGTCGTTGAAAATTTGTCCTTCTTTAGTTTCAGTGTATGGCATCCTTGACTCGTCAAGCTGCCGTCATTTCAGGAATATTCGCCAACAAAGCCGTCCAGCAGCATTGTCTTCGACTGCTTTCAGGTACTACTTATAAACGAACAATAAGTTTTCACAAGTCAGCTCAAATTTATATCCTGATTTACTCTTTGGTGATTTACTCCTCAAGTAAGAACTTTATTTTCATACCAAGGAATACTGTATCGATTTTATGTCGTATTGCACTGTGGAACTGTTTTAGGGAACGAATACTCGCAACGCGCAACTTTCTAATAACCAATAAAAGAAGCGATAACGTCCCAAAACAATGCCATGATGCAGTTCGACACAAAGCTTACCCAGTCTCACTCGCAGCCTCAAAAACAGCCAAGAGAGACCTCAATGCTAAGGAGTGCGTGCGCGTGAACCGGCGTCATTTTGGCGGGAACCCGCCGTCGTCGTGCTACTGCGAGTTTTAGCGAGAATGTCGTAGTCTTGAAATTTTAAATACAACTTATTAATCGAGATTGAGATCATTACAGGGAAATCTCAGACCGAAGCCATCAAGGCCTCGGTCTGAGATTTCCCTGTAATGACCGCACAGACGAGGTTAACTTTAAAAAAACACGTCACCTCAGTGAGTTGTACACTTGAGCGATGCAGTCAGGTGACACTGGTCAGCGGATATCCTTTTTGGCAGCTGTCAATTGACCATAACATGGATGTCCACTATCATGTTAATCACAGATTGTATATGCTTTGGACAACTAGCTACTAATGCCCAGTCATTACAAGAAAACAGCCAATCAGAGCGCGCGCACCATTGTAGCCGTATAATTTTCACTGTTTATTTTTTGGTCCCAGTCGTCACCCCTGACGCGGTTCCAGGTGCTACCGGCCCCTCCCTCCTGGAGTTGGACTTGTTCAGCATGATGGTGAGTGACGTCACGTTGAAAGGTTTTAGGTTTTTGTGTGACGCCTTTTAAAAGTTCGAGCTTTGAGTTTCGTGTTGTTGTTCTATTCAGTTTTGCTACTTGTCCAAGTCTAGCGTTAGATCGTAAATTTTTGTCATTCAGGTTAAGCTCCGCTTGGTGCTGCCTAGTATGTTATATCAGGAGTCTGTTGACGGCAGTTCCACTCCTGTGTTGAAGAGTATTGTGGGACTGAATTCGCCGGTGTCAATTGACCAGTGTGTGTTTCAAGTTTCGCTTTTGGCGCGGGTGGTCCAAATACTTCTAACCAGCCCTACTGATCTTCCAAGTAAGTAGATGACTCCTCTAATGTCAAGAGGCCAATGGAAAAAAATAGATAAAATAAATAGTACCATGTGAAAGTACTGCAGAAGAGGTTTCATTTGAATGGTTACACCATAGGATTTCATCCACAAACTCGAAAGTTAGAACAACGTACTAAATAAATAGTACCATGAAAGTACTGCTGAAGAGGTCTCATTTGAATGGTTTCACCATAGGATTTCATCCACAAACTCGAAAGTTAGAACATCATACTAAATAAATAGTATCGTGCATGTGAAAGTACTGCTGAAGAGGTTTCATTTGAATTGTTTCACCATAGGATTTCATCCACAAACTCGAAAGTTAGAACAGCATACTAAATGAATAGTACCATGCATGTGAAAGTACTGCTGAAGAGGTTTCATTTGAATGGTTTCACCATAGGATTTCATCCACAAACTCGAAAGTTAGAACAACATACTGAATAAATAGTACCATGTGAAAGTACTGCTGAAGAGGTTTCACTTGAATAGTGACACCATAGGATTTCGTTCACAGATTTAAAAGTTGAAGTGAAAATAATGTCGCCTTAATATAGTCTACGAATGAGACGATTTAAAAGTGCATACGTTGTTTTATAAAAATTGGCAATCTTGTACAGTTGGGTTGCACACCAAAAGCGCTCACTTCTTCGTTTTTTTATATTGTTACTAGTAATTAGTTATTACTTCCCTTGCAACCATTCTGAGAATAAAAATTGGACTAAACTATATACCATTTCATAGGATCAATGTTACAAGATTGTTACTGTTTTGTTGAATGTTTCTCGACGAAACGATGACTCGTGCTTAGTCCGAGTGAAAAAAAGCAGAATAGCCCAAAAGAGTCTTTGAGAAATTTGGCCAAAAGGCTTCCACAATTAGCCCTCCCCTAAAACTGACGACACTATTCTGCATCTGATAGGTGATGAAACTGAAAATGAACCGATGGATCAGGACAACCCTCCCCATGAGGACGAGGCTGTCAATCTAGCTGCTCTGTGGGGAAAACTTAGGCACTGGGCAGGGTAAGTGTTGATTGAACATTATTGCAACTTTGGATCTTAATGCAGTTACCGTCATTGCAAAAGAAGTAAAGGAACCAAACAATAGAGTTCTCCTGGGGGCTTTATCGTAGGGATGTATTGTTTCTATCGTTAAACGTGATCTGTGCCTCGGTACCTACGGAAGACCCGCAACTTTTGCCGTAGATGTCACACCGACTATATACATTCTACATACATTCTTTGGGCTTCTTTGTAAATTGGATATCAAAACGTTAAGTCCATAATAGGCAATTATAACTCAGGTTTAGGTTGACGCCATAAAGCAGGTTTCTCTCTTTTTTAGTTCCCAGTCCTCTACGCCTCATCCCATGCCACTGGCGCTTCTTAATCACGTGAGAGCACACTTGGTACCATTCCTACGCTGTTCAGCTCTGTTCTTTCATTTTCTGACTGAGATTCCTGTGCCAACGTCTTTGCAAGGTGAGTAAGCCCTTCATAGTTTGTTTGGATTTTTGTTTCGTTTTGTTGTTGTTGTTGTTGTTGTTGTTGTTGTTGTCAATACAGAAGCAGCTTGTTCAATTTTTGTTGTGGATATTGATGATAAAGGTAGTATTTACTGCTTGCCTCGATGTGGTAGTTTAAAGTGGTTGATGTAGTTTGCTCGTTAGCAGTGTTAAAAGCGTTAAAAACTCATTGAGGTTAGTCACTATGACAATTTTTAAGTTAATTCAGCTGTAATACTATTTTACTTTGAGCAACAACAGGGTCCATTAAGAAACGGTCAAAAGCGTAACACATAACGTGTAACTTGTTTTGCAACATTGGTGCAAAACGAGTTGAATAGTGATGTTGCACGTTTTACCACCCACGAATCAAACCCGCTGTGTTGCAACAAATAAGCTTGCAAGGTTTTGTTTTCGTGGGTGGTAAAACGCGCAACACCGCTATTCAACTCGCTTTGCAGCAATGTTGCACATCAAGTTGAACGTTTTTTGTTACCTGTATTACCGTACTTTTAGGTTATTACTGAGTTTACGCAAAAAGAAGTCAGAAAGAGGAGGACGGCTATTACGTGCATGTCCTGTCGTGATCTTCGCTAAATATCAATGTTTTTGTGGTCTTTTACAAAAAGATCTGTTTAAAGAAAGATGAGGTTTGAGGCAATTTGTTTTTCAAACAAAATTGTCACGCTTGTCACACAAGTTTTGCCGTCTTATTACTCTGCCGTCCTATTGGGTAAGTTCACTATTTTCTAACCCTTGTCAATGCAAAATCTCTCTTTCCCAGGCCCCATCCAAGCATCCAGGTCAGAGGAGCTGGAGAGTCTGTGCCGATACCTTTCCGTGCCCACAAACATAACTAGTTTATTGCAGTGGAGTCAAGATAGTGGTTCAATCACTTCATCGACTATCTCCACGGTTGTTAAGAGGTTAGCTTCCCTGCAAAATATGAGAATTGGTATAAAGTACGATGTATATTGCTTTCAAGGATTTATGGTCTCGTCATCACTCGGCGACGTTACGTTTATAGAGCACAGATATGTAATTGGTCTTTTTTTTTTGTCATATTAGATGGTGCAGTCATGAACATGTTAGGAAAACTTTGGCAACTGCAGGAGTGGAATCACTCGGGTGAGTTTAGATTACAGAAACCAAACAGAAGATTGTAAATATCCTGTCACTTCTCTGACTGTCGTCTTTGTTTGTAGGTATTCTATTAAATCAAATCATTTGCTGAAGATTCCCTTGGACTACAGCGAGCTTATCAACAAAGCGTCGATGTTTACGTAAGTTCATTTAGTCAGTGATTTAATTGAATTGCGCTCGTTTTTTTCCCTTCAGTTTACACGAAAAAACTGATGCTATTGCGCGTAAACTTGAACTGATATAGAAATTTAAACGCTTTTTCAGTAGAGGACTGAAGAAGTTTGTGTACTTGATCATGACTGAGTGTTAGTGTGAATTGTAAGAGCCGCGTATCAAAGTATCCGCGGATATGGTCAACAGCCTTTGAGTATAATCAGAGGCTAAGTTAAGTTCTTTTAGGAGGATAAAATTCTTAAAGCGCACGAAATGCCTTATGGTCATCAATCTATACATAATTAATCTGCAAAAGGCGCAAAATCGAGCAATTGTCGTTCTTGTTTAGATGCCCAAATTCAGATGGCGACGACAGTCGTGCGCCTGCACTCTGTTTGATCTGCGGCGAGATGCTGTGTTCTCAAAGCTATTGTTGCCAAACGGACCTGGGAGGTTACAAAGTGGGTGCTTGTGCTGCACATGCGCAGAAGTGTGGTGCAGGAGTGGGCGTGTTTCTACGCGTGCGTGAATGTCAGATTTTGTTGATGGCCAATAAGAACAAAGGATGTTTTTACTTACCTCCTTATCTGGATGCGTACGGCGAGACAGATCAGGGATTGAGGTAACGTAGCGTATCTTTTTAGCGCGCAGTCACTGAATATTTTGACGCAACAAGGGGGAAAGAAAATCAATTTTCAACGAAAACCCTGTACATCTTGTAGAAGGAGAAAGCTAGGTGCAAAAGGAAATGATCTCGCAAGCATTTAGAAAGAGTACGTGCACGGAAACATAATTTTGACAGAAATGTCCGTTACCGAATAGAGTGAATTGAGTTGATAGCTTAACGCCATAAATTTCTTGATCAACCTGCATGATTCCATCGAGATATTTTTTCTAGTAGTCTTCAGGACCTGTGGCAAGCAGAATTTATCACATTATGTAGGGCGAATTCTAGCTAGAAAGTATCTCGGTGCAGAGCCATGATAAATTCATGTTCTCGGTCGGTCACCACTTAAGATCGAGCCTTGACATGACACTTTCTGTGCCCTTTTTTCCTATCTGTTGTCTCTCTCAGATTGTTATCTTCCCTTGTGATAATGACTTGTTCATTTAAATTCATTCAGCACTTGACAAAGTGCGGTAACCAGGGTTTTTTAAATCGGAGCGTACTTTGGATTCAACAAAGGGATAAACATTATTTTCGTCCTTTTCAACTGGATTCTCTTTATTTGTGGTGTTTGTTTTTAGGCGCGGCAATCCTCTGTACCTCTGTCCCAGTCGCTATCAAAAGCTGGAGAAACTGTGGCTGACTCACTCCGTGGCAGAGGAGGTGGCTCATTGCCTGGAGTCGAACAGAAACTTGCTCTCAATCGACTGGACAAATCTTTAAAGCGAAGTAACCCATACTGTTGAGTCGAAACTGGACTGCAACTAACATAAAAACGGCTTGCACAACAAAATATTGTGATACGATTTGAAAATGAATCGAATTGCAGAGTACCATGATTTATGTAAAAGTGGTCCGTTACGTTAGTGAGCATGCTCATGGTAGGCCGGCACAACGAAGCGGATGAAAAGTTGTGAAACTACCAGTCGTAACAAAATGAAAGAAAGGTCTGTAATTGGCTTTATTTTTTAAAGCCTTCTATTTAGCACAACGGGGTTCAAATCGGGGGTGTTTATTGGTGTTGCGGTGAACTATGCTTGGTTTGGTGTTGTGCTGTGTTGAAAGTATTGTTTGATGTCATATCAGCATTTTGTGTAACGTGATTTTGTGAACGCCATTATTCGTGATACCGCGAAACTGCCTTCGGAACAATATGTGAAGTACCTTGTCCATTGGTGTGTGCAGTTTTAACTGATTGATAAATTTTTAAGCACTTGTCTTTAGTCGCTGCTCGTGATGGCGAAGGAGCAGCAAATACATAAGTATTGGCTTATATTAGCTACAGATGTCCGGGAACTACAGCACAACAACGCGATAGGTTGTTTTGCGCGTAAACTGTTTTGTTCTTTGCCCTTTATGATCTTTCTCCCGATCACAAGGAATTTGTTGAGCAGGAAAGGGGAAATAGCCGGGGCAACCAACAACGAGTGGGATTTATATCAAATCCATGTTAACTTAATACTGACAAGGAGGCGGGATTTATATCAAATCTATGTTAACTTAATACTGACAAGAAGGTGGGATTTATATCAAATCTATGTTAACTTAATACGCGTGAATCGAGAAAATCGACTTTTTGTACTGCAAAATTTATACACAGGGGGCAGCGGTTTTAAGCACTTGTTCATATGACGTCTGGAAAATTCTTTCAGTCGTGTGAGTGAATGAGTTCGATATCTGAGGGCCGGTTAATTGAATGAAGTCTAATTTATACCATGATTGACGACAACGGTAGAATTGCCGATCTGTACATAAGTGGCTCATTCTTAGTTGACTTTGTTTCTCTTCTCTGTACTGTATGCCTTCTTTACATTATTTCACTAAACAACACTGTTGTGTTATACACCAGCTAAACTCCGTTTCGTTAACCGGCCGTAAATGATATCAGCGGTAGCTTAGCACCCTTCAAGAGAAACTATTATGTGGTTGGCGTGGATATTTATTATTGAATAACAAACTGTAGGGTTGGTGGATAGGCAAAAATTAATTTTCTTTCAAATTTGGATGTCACTTTTCTCTCATATCTGTCTACCTCCGTAGCAGTTGCTAGAATAATATGGGGCGTTGGTAAGTCCTATAGGAATGACGTCACAGAATCTCGGGTTGTGAAAGACAGAATTTGCTGCGAAATGTGGAAAGATCACGATGAAATCTCTACTTGCCAGAAATCAGGTTTCGGATGGGTAATATGCGATGTTTTTCTCTGTTAAGTCCATACAAAGTTGACTTCGTTCATAACGCTGTTTACCAGGTCAATCAAGTTAAGAGGAAATTGTACAACGTCAGTGGAACAGAGGAGTACTTATATCATTCAAAATGCTCTTCCCGAAAATCTCATCAAATCCTATTATTTCGCGATCATGTTATTGGCGCTTCGACTTACTACCTCTTCCTAGTGCGTACAGCCGAGAGGACCACTCCGTTCGCGTCCTCCGAGTCCGTCGTCTCTTTGATTCACTCATTTGTTACCAATATAGGCGAGGGGCTCTGTGAACGAGAGTGGCACCGCTCATTCGCCCCATACTTTTCCTGCGCCTGCTACTTTGGCTACAGATCTGTAAATGGTTTTTTTTCTCTGTGATTTCTTTGTTTGTTTTACAGAGTGAAACATTGAAGCTTGAGATGTAACTAGGGGGTGTAAATAATATGCAATTTATTAAATGTTTTTATGAAACTCGTTTTTGCCTCTTTTGTTCAAAAGAAGCTTAGAAGTTCAACGTGCTCTTCTAATTAATTAGATTTCTGCTTGGTGATGGGCGATAGCTGTCACGTGGAGGTTTGTTGAAAGACCAGGTTGCGTCTTTATCAAGTGGGCTTTCGCTACATGTGAAAAGCTCGTGACTTGCCGTTTATCTGCGGGTCTGGCGAACAGCGATAAAGCGCTGACTTAATGTGCCAACCAAAAGCGTATTGGTTCTTGAAACAACAGATTCTATTGTTTCACTCGTTAAAAATTTGAATAACAAAAACAATATTTGTATATAATGTCTCCTACAGCTGGTGTTGTTTTATTTGTCGTGCACGTGACATGCCCTTATCAAATGCAGTGTTTGCACGTGAGGAGTAGTATCAACTGCTCGTGAATTGCTGTCTATTGTGATTGTGCTGCGTTGAACAGTGCGAACTAGACGTTACGCGTTCTTTTGTTGTCGTTTGTCATTACCAATACGTGTGAAGGGTACTGTACGATGCCAGTTAAGAGCTCTCGTGTTGATGCAAACACGTGTCTTGATGCACGTGATCACCCTGATGCCTTGGCGAATGTCAAGTTAGACTCATGAATAGTGTGCGTTGCACGTGAAGAGCACGTGTCTCGTCTCTTGTCAGCATCGGGTTGATGAGTGATATGCATGTGGGTGAGGAGCTTGTGTTGAGCACTGCACGTAAGGACGGCGTGTGTTGCGATCTGTAAGGTTGTATCAAAGGAATAATGTACTGCACGTGACCTGCTCGTGTCTTCACTTGACATCGTCACTTGTAAAAAAGCTAGTGTCTTGTCATCTGTCCGGTTTTGGTCTGTCGCAGCAGTTACAGAATTGAAGAAGACTGGATCCACTGTTCAAGTTGTTAGCTGTTATTTTGTACTGGATGACGACTCCTATAGCCGTACTAACACCCCAGCAAACAAACATTGGGATCGCTAAAGGAGAAAAAAGGAGAACTCATCGCTCAAATAGTCAAATGAACCATTGAAAGACGAAATGCGTTCAAATACGCTGCCAATTTTGATCGTCAGAAATGAAAGGATCTAAAACATTTAATGGCGTTGAATTCGCCATTTTAGAGTCGAGAAGGGAACTGGAGCAGAAATGCGTCGCGCAGTTGTTTCTGGGATCTCTGCCAGGTACGCGCCGGTCCACTATTGGCCATTTTTTCCCTGCCCGTTAGTAACAGTCCCAGACGTCTGTGCGGAAGTTAACTAGGCCCAGTTTCTTTCTCATTGCGTGGCGATGGTAACCAGATCGAAACCTGTACTATAAATACATTCCAGTCAATCACATGGGAGGTTGCTTTTAGTACAAATTGTTGTATCATTTCACTTTCAGTTTGTACTTACAGTTGGGTGTAAAATGAACGGCCAGATGTGCAGGCGCTTTAGCTCTGTAAGTCCAATTTGACAATTCTGACTTTAACCCATCCCAAACAACGTCCTTGATTCGCAAAAGGAAACTTTCTATTGTGACGGAAAAACTTGTCCGTAAGAAATAATCAACCCCTGAGGAAAAAAAGCAGACAAAGCCAAGTTCAGTATGCGCTGATACGTTCTAAGCTGTAACTCATGAACTGTCCAAGTTAAATCATGCTTACAGCCAGAGTATAGGGCGTTGCTGGGGGAAAAGGCCAGGGGGGAGAGAGGGTTCCTCCCCTTCCCCTCCCCCTGCCTCTAAAATCGCCTCTCCCCTAACCCATAAGGAAGGCCTGGTACTCAGACTACACGCTTACCGTATAACACGGCTAATGTTCCAGCACATGATGTTGCTATAACAACAACTGGTTTCTCATAGAAATGAGCCAGTGATCCGAACATGAGAGAGGTTGCTGCCATAAGTCCGGCGTATGCAATATTACTGTTGGGAGAAGAAATGCGCATACTTCAGTTAAACTGTCTTTTTTCACTTATGACTCTACTACTCTGGGGGAAACGGGGTAGGTGAGTTTAAGTCTCCTGCGTTGAAGGGGAGTGGCGCGCGGATTAAATTTTCTTCGACAGGCAGGTCGTTTCTTATTTGTTCTCTATTAAAGATGTTATCTGGACCTATTCACTGCTACCAATACGCTCTTCTCACGTATGGTAATATGCCCGTCTAACCTCGTTTTTGAGTAAAACGTCCTTTGAAATGCTAATCAGACGACGTTTTCGTATTTGAATTTCAAAAGAATTTTTACCCGTAAACGAGGTTAGACGGGCATATTACCATAAGTGAGAAGAGCGTATTAGAGGTAGGAAGTGACCCCAAAATGTACTTAACAACCACTTCCAACATGACTGATGTAACCCTGCTAAGCCGAGCTGTGGCCAGTTTGTGATTGCAATCGTAAAGAGCGAACTAATAAGTCAGTTAATAAGATTCGAATGAAAAGATTATCGGATGCTGATTTTTAATTTACTGTGCCATCTTACTCTTCCTGTAAGTACCTGTGAAAATACTCGTAAAGAGGGCTGCTAAGTATTGCCAGTCCAACAATCTAAAATGCAAAGTGAAAACAAAATTTTTCGTTAACGCTGAAAATCCCCGTTAAAATATCAACTAACTTCACATAATGTAACCCTAGATTTCAGTACCCGGACAGGGGCGGATCCAGAAAATTTAGATAGACCCGGGCTCTACGAGTCTTGCCAGCTATTACAGATACTAAGACCTCTCTTCTGTGTCCAAACTTTAAGACCTTTAGAGACAGATTTTTTACTTATAATTGTAACAAAGTTTCAGACAAAAGCGGGAGGTGGTAGTGGCCTAATTTGCCTGTGTTTGGCTTTTTAGGGAGTGGCTTCGATACAAACGAATAGGGGTTTATAGTAAATAACATGCTACATATAATATGAGTTTATGCTTAAGTGACAGATTCCAGGTATGATCTGGATAATTGTGGTATAAAAATGACGAATTAACTCCTTCTGTGGTGATTGACTTTCACTTACCAGTCCCAAGCACTCTCCTATTGTGAAAACACCAAGTCTGTACAACCGACATCCTAAAAACCCACCAAACACGCCTGCTAACGCACTGAACAAAATATGAGCTGTGAAAGAAAAATTACATCAATGATTGATTCAAAAACTGGGAGCCGTTGTTGCAGCAAGACATGAATCGTGCAATCTTCACATGACGTCACGTTCGCCATATTGGTTTTCCAAACAATGAAACGGCGGCCATGTTGGTGCCCAAAACCAGTCCTATGGACGTTAAACCTTTTTTATGTACAAACTTTCCTTTGTTGCAATAAATTTGCACCTCACGTGAGTGAAAAGCTCTCTTGGTCAAAAATTCTCAAAAAGGGATTGATGTTAACTGGCATTTTTCCACAATGGCTTCCATAAAATTCATGACTACAAAAGTCAAGGGAGGAAGTAGAAAACTTCCATTCAACAATACTGACCTATCGCCTTCCCATGTGGTCCACAGCAAATCTGCGTCTTAAAAACCAATGGACTAAATACGTAAAATATGAGAAAACCAAGGGCGAAACCCGCGAGGAACATGCATGGCTGAAAATAAAAGATAGGTTTAAAGTTAAAAATATGTAAATGTAATTTCGAGGTGCTTAGCATTTTTCAGAAGTGGCTGGTTAGACCAGTCGAGTCGTAAAGAAAATTCGTCCTGTTATTCAGCCAGATCAGATAATTCCTAAATATCATGCACTACGCGGCAGTGATGGGCTTTAGTAGAAACTTTATAGAAAATACTATATGAGGAAACACTGCTTATCAGTTAGTTCTTTTAATACTAAATCATCTCTAAAATGCCTTTCTTTGATGATAAACTTTTTTGGAAAGGCAGTTCGCGCTCGTTTGTCCCTGATTTTGCAGTATTCGTCCTTATTCAACCAGTTTTATCCCTACGCCATATATATTGGCGAGTTCTCCCGAAAAGCTTGACTGGTGATGTTACTCCAATCTCACCGAGTACGCCTGGGAACAAGGCCGCGATCCTCCTTCTTTTTACAGAGTTGAGGAAATTGGAAATTGAATTATTCAATGAGAATTGCTGTTTTAAGTGCAGCGTAAAATATTTGAATGACTGGATTCTTACCCTAATAAGGCGATATCCTGCAGCCCATATGACAACACCAACAACTGCTAGGATCTCTATTATGGTAACCGCGGCGGGATGTCTAATTAAAACGAATAAAGTCAGGGCAAAGAGTAGGTGAAAGGATCTTAATGGGTTATTGTATTGCATTTGATATCCCCCCTATCTTCAAGGATAGACCAATATTCTTCAGGGGGTAGACCTATCATTTATGGAATTGGTTATTATAGGGGTACGAAGAAAAGGTAAGTCATACACCGCGACGTAGGAATATTAAAATGCAATACCCCATGCAATAAAGAAATTTGAACATAGCTAACTATATTATTATAGTAGATATGCGAATATTAGTCGTTGAACAAGGGAGACACGTATCATAGTTTAGTCGAAAAAGTCGCTTTCTTGAGGGTAAAGTTAAAAGAAGCAACTTAGCCTAAAGTAAATTGTATCGCCGGGGAGTAGTAGTATTGTCCGGTCAAAGATTTGTATAGGCTTCCAGAGCAGCCCGCGGGTGAAACAAGAGCCGCAAATGACGATAAAAAGTGTCTGCTGCAGTTACATCTGAAAGAAAAAACGAGTACTAAGACACCTTGGTTGAATTTATTTAATGTGTTTTAAGTACGCAACAGGTGGTTTATTGATAATCTCACGTTGAAACTGGTGGCTTACTACACAGTTCATTTGCTTCGGAGCCAATTTTTAAGCAATCCTTCAGAGGGGAGAATAATGTCTCTTCGCCCTGAATGATGGTTGTTAAACATGAAAAGGAAAAATTACAATTTATCGATACGTAACATTGACCTATACTTACTTGCTGTAGACCAACTTGTCCAATAGTTTTTGTGTGGCTTCTTTCGTTATATTAAGCCCTTCGTCAAAATCCATTGTTTTTGCTACGAAGAAACTACCGGCTTGTATCGTGTTCAACGGTATGGCACATCTCTATCATTTTCGTCTCTCCTTCAACCGTTCAACATGTCCATTTAACTTTCTATTTATTGATAACGCGGGGTTAATCGCAGGCCTAATAAATCTTAATCGTCCATATTCGAAAAAATGAAATCCACACAGCTCCACCTCTTCTAGTTCAAGTCATATGCTATTTTTACTAAAACCTGTCACGCTGTTGATAACCTGATCCCTTTAATTCACGTACTCGTGTTCCTACTGAAATATTGGCGTAGTTTTCTAAGGTCATTCTCACTTTTTTCTCCGTTTAGCGTCGTCCGACTGATCCAAATTTTTCTCGCATTTTTTTTTTAAAAAACGTAAGGACATAGTTAAACCAATTTTCACTTGCAATAATTATTTTAATCTTAGAAATGAGCATAGTAACAGCATACAGAAAAACAGGAACAGAAACAGGAACATCTTTTACAGTATATTGTGTATTTTGTTAATCCAAATATGTGAATGTTACCTTTTAGCGTCATCCTGGGGTACCCGGTCCTCCTATTCCGAGACTTCTTGTGATTTGTATTTTTAGTTTTTTTTTTCAATCCTACCGACCGACCCAACATCAGGAAACGCATTCGATGCTAAACGTAAAAAAAGGGGGATGGCCTAAGTATTCTACAGTTGCAACTTCTGGCTTTCACCCTTCCCGTTCTGTGAGGTTCCATATTGAAAGTAAAGTGCTGCCCCATATATAATAGAACGATGAAGTGTATCCCGGATGTAGGTATCACGTGGTTTTAACGAGAGAGTAAAAATCAGTGCCGGATCCAGACGTTGAGATGAGGGGGGAGTGGGGGAGGTCATCCAGACCTCTAGAGAGGGGGGGCCTCAGTTTGGTCTAAAAATAACGGGGGGCCGGAGCCCCTGGGCCCCTCCCCTGGATCCCCCACTGAAAATGATGATGTATATGTGAGTGTCCCCGCCTGTTTTCTTACCTATTCATGTATTTTTTGTTGTTTGCGTATTTGAAAAGAATTATATTCATTTCACCTTTTACCATTAATGCCTAAACTTTTTGTAGTGTCACTTATCTTATTTTTTGGCGAAAACGTGAAAAAACTGACAAGAAATTGATTCAGTTTGCTCCGGCAAACTTCCGCACAAATTTTAGCAAAAACTTTTCGAATAAAATTTCCCACAAATTTTCGAACAAATTACCCGAAGGTTTTTCTTAACTCGATTATCCAAGTTCTCCTGGCTATTTCCTCGACTCCCGGTCTTCCATGTTATCCTGGTTCTCCTGGTTATCCCAGTTGCCCTGGTTGTCCTAATTGTCCTTTTTATCCTGGTTGTCACTGTTGTTACTGTTGTCTCTGTTGTCACCGATGTCGCTGTTGTCACTGTTGTCACCCTTTTCGCTGTTGTCACCGTTGTCATAGTTGTCACTGTTGTCGCTGTCATCACCATTGTCACTGTTGTCACCGTTGTCGCTCATGTCACTGTTGTCACTGTTGCCACCATTGTCGCTGTTCTCACCGTTGTCGCTGTTCTCACTGTTGTCACCCTTGTCGCCGTTGTTGCTGTTGTCACCATTGTCGCTGTTGTCACTGGTGTAACCGTTGTCACCGTTGTCACCATTGTCGCTGCTGTCATAGTCGTCACTGTTATCACCGTTGTTGCTGTTATCACCGTTGTCACTGTCGTCACCGTTGTCACTGTTGTTCCTGTTGTCACCATTGTCACTGTTGTCACAGTTGTCGCTGTTGTTAACACAGGGTCCGAAATTGCGCCTTCCTGGTCGCCAATGCGACTAAAAATTCAGTACTGGCGACCAGAATTTCATAGCTGGTCGCCAACTGGCGACTTGTAAAGCTGGCTGTTATTGTGAACTTTCAGGTTCGGAGAAAATGATTAAGAATTAAAACCTCGAGGCTATTTGCCAACAGGTGTCTTACGTTTTGTCCTGCTGATACTTTTTCATTAAAAGTGAAACGAATCTTCATGTAAAAATACCTCCTCAACAGCTACGATCAATATGAGTTGAATGGTTCAAAGCCGCCATGTTCTTTTCAGCTGAAACACGATACCCATATATCCACGGTTGTGGCCTGGATCGAGCAACATGGCGGACTCGTGTTTACATCTCCAAAAAGTAATTTGTGGAAAAAATAAGACCTCACTCGTACGAGTACGGCTGCTCTCTGGTATCGGGAGCCGAAGTAGTGGAATTTTTGAGCATAAAAACGTCCATACCATACATTTTTTATTCGTGTTTAAACTTCTATTTTAAATAAAGGGAGGGGAAATTTTTGGCGACCACAATTTGCCCTCTGGCGACCAAAAATTTATACTTGATCGCCAGTTGGCCCCCGTATTAAAAAGTTAATTTCGGACCCTGTAACATTATATATAACTGTTGTCACTGTTGTCACCTTTGTCACTGTTGTAACCGTTGTTGCTGTAGTCACTGTCGTCGCTGTTGTCACCATTGTCACTGGTCTCACCGTTGTCCCTGTTGTCACTTTTGTCGCTAATAAACCTTTCTCACCGTTGTTCATTATCAGCATTTTTGCTGTTGTCACTTTTGTCACCGTTGTCGCTGTTGTCACCATTGTCACTGTTCTCACTGTTGTCATTCTTATCGCTGTGGTCACTGTTGTCACTGTTCTCGCCGTTGTCGCTATTGTCACTTTTCTCGCTGTTCTCGCTGTTAACCCCATTGTCGCTGTTGTCACTGTTGTCACTGTTGTCACCGTTGTCGTTGTTGTCACCGTTGTCACTGTTGTCGCTGTTGTCACCGTTGTCACTGTTGTCACCGTTGTTACTGTTGTCACTGTTGTCACCGTTGTCACTGTTGTTCCTCTTGTCACTGTTGTAACCATTGTCGCTGTTGTCACCGTTGTCCCTGTTGTCACTGTTGTTCCTCCTGTCACTGTTGTGACTGTGGTCACTGTTGTCACCGCTGTCACTGTTGTCACCGTTGTCGCTGTTGTCACAGTTGTCGCTGTCGTCACTGTTGTCGATGTGGTCACTGTTGTCACTGTTGTCACTGTTGTCGTTGTTGTCACTAATGTCACCGTTGTCGCTGTGGTCGCTGTTGTCACTGTTGTCCCCATTATCGCTGTTGTCACTGTTGTCACCCTTGTCACCGTTGTCACTATTGTCGCTGTTAACAATCTTGTCACCGTTGTCGCTGTTGTAACTGTTAACGCTGTTGTCACCGTCGTCACTGCTCTCACCATTGTCACTGTTGTCACTGTTGTCACCGTTGTCACTGTTGTCACTGTTGTCACCCTTGTTACTGTTGTCACTGTTGTCACCGTTATAACTGTTGTCACTGTAGTCAATGTTGTCACTGTGGTCACCGTTGTCACTGTTGTCACACCATTATCGCTGTTCTCACTGTTGTCATTGTTTTCACTGTCGTCCCTGTTGTCACTGTTGTCACCATTGTCCCTGTTCTCACTGTTGTCACTTATGTCACCATTGTCACTGTTGTCACCGTCGTCACTATTGTTGCTGTTGTCAATGTTCTCACTGTTGTTACTATTGTCACTGTTGTCCCTGTTGTCACTGTTGTCGCTGTTGTCGCTGTTGTCACTGTTCTCACTGTTGTCACAGTTGTCACTGTTGTCACCGTTGTCATCGTTGTCACGGTTGTCACCGTTGTGACTGTTGTCACCGTTGTCACTGTTCTGACTGTTGTCACTGTTGTCACGGTTGTCACTTGTCACCGTCGTCACCGTTGTCACTTTTGTCACCATTGTCACTGTTGTCACCAATGTCACTGTTGTCAATGTTGTCACTGTTGTCACTGTTGTCACTGTTGTCACAGTTGACACCGTTGTCGCTGTTGTCACACCATTGTTATTGTCGTCACTGTTGTCACTGTTGACACTTGCCACTGTTTTCGCGGTTGTCACCGTTTTCACTGTTGTCACCATTGTCACTGTTGTCACTGTTGTCAATGTTGTCACCGTTGTTACTGTTGTCACTGTTGTGACGGTTTTCACTGTTGTCACCGTTGTGACCGTTGTCACTGTTGTCACTGTTGTCACCGTTGTCACTGGTGTCACAGATTATCACGGTTGTCACCGTTGTCACTGTTGTCACCATTGTCACCGCTGTCACTGTTATCACCGTCGTCACCGTTGTCACTGTTGTCACCGTTGTCATCATTGTCACCTTTGTCACTGTTGTTACCGTTGTCACTGTTGACACTGTTGTCACGGTTCTCACTGTTGTCACCGTTGTCACTGTTGTCAGCGTAGTCAATGTTGTCACTGTTGTCACCGTTGTCATTGTTGTTACCGTTGTCACTGGTGTCACTGTTGTCGCGGTTGTCACTGTTGTCACCGTTATCACTGTTGTCACCATTGTCACTGTTGTCACCATTGTTACTGTTGTCACTGTTTTTACCGTTCTCACTGTTGTCCCTGTTGTCACCGTTGTCACTAATGTCACCGTTTTCACCATTGTCTGCACAGCTATCAAATTATGTTGTCACCGTTGTCACTGTTGTCACTGTTGTCACCGTTGTCACTGTTGTCACTTTTGTCACCATTGTCACTGTTGTCACCAATGTCACTGTTGTCAATGTTGTCACTGTTGTCACTGTTGTCACTGTTGTCACAGTTGACACCGTTGTCGCTGTTGTCACACCATTGTTATTGTCGTCACTGTTGTCACTGTTGACACTGTTGCCACTGTTTTCGCGGTTGTCACCGTTTTCACTGTTGTCACCATTGTCACTGTTGTCACTGTTGTCAATGTTGTCACCGTTGTTACTGTTGTCACTGTTGTGACGGTTTTCACTGTTGTCACCGTTGTGACCGTTGTCACTGTTGTCACTGTTGTCACCGTTGTCACTGGTGTCACAGATTATCACGGTTGTCACCGTTGTCACTGTTGTCACCATTGTCACTGCTGTCACTGTTATCACCGTCGTCACCGTTGTCACTGTTGTCACCGTTGTCATCATTGTCACC